TGAAAAAGACCTACTCAACATTATCAACAACATCTCCTTTCAAAAAAAGAAAATCCACTTCCAAAAACATCTAGACCAAATAGTTAAAAGCATTAATGAATGTGACAAAATATTAGTTAAGTCTGACAAAACCGGCAACTTCTACAAATTGACTGTCGATGACTACAACAACAATTAGAAAAAACTTAACCAGGACTTATAAAAAAGTCATCAACAATATCAATATGGTCGATAGCATAAACAGAACTAGTAAAAATAACTGATAAATTAAAAATCAGCGATAGAGTAGGTAAACTTGCTGAAAAGAATGTTACATAACTCTTAAGGACCATAAGCCTGACTTTTAGAAAACCCAGCAACCAGAATAATTAACCCTACCCGACCCGACATAGGAAAGATCAGCAAAAGGATCCTGGAAAAAAAAAATTACCTGCCAAATAAAAAACAACTGGAATTAAAATTATGGATCAATACTAAAAGATGTCATCAATTGGTTTAACTATATTGATGATAAACCAAATGCACCTAATACAGTTCGATATCGTGAATTACTACCCATCAATTTCGAAGGATCTATTTACGACTGCCCTGGACTTTGCTGCTGTGTATTCTAACCTGACAAAGGAAGAAACAGATATAATCCTCAGCGCAAAGAAATCGGTTCTCATTCATAATGGGGACCAATGGATAAAAAACAATAACGACCTGTTTGACATCACTATGGGATCATTAGACTCTGCAGAGTCTTCTGACCTTGCTCGGTCTTCTGATACTGTACAACATAACGGCACACCGCGAAATTGATATGGGACATCGGACTGTATAGAGATGACGGGCTCATGGTGGTGAGGAGTTCTACTAGTTTTAAGATTGAAAAAATCAGAAAAAAATTATATTTAGTGAATTTAAAAAACTAAACTTAAAGATAATTGTCTCTTCTAATTTTAAAAGGAGTAAAACTTCCTCGACATAACTCTAGACTTACCTGGCAACACATACCAACCTTATAGCAAACCTAATGCTAACCCTTTATATATACACCCGAAAGTCAAACCACCCTCCATCCATAATTAAACATATACCCTCATCAATAGAAAATAGAATTAGCATTAACTCCGCTAACAAAGAAATATTCCAACAACACAATGGCTTCTATAATACTACCCTAAAAAATAGTGGTTATAAAAATGCTAACATTAACTATAGAGACAATTGCACTGGCCATAGGAAGAAAAAAACAGGAAAAGAAAAATTCTTAAACCTAATTGATAAACACTTCCCCACCAATACTAAGCTTAGTAATATATTCAATAAGAACACCCTAAAATTGAGTTACAGCTGCTCTGAAAATCTTGAACGTATCATAAAAAAACACAATAATAAGATCTTGAACAAACCCCCATGCCTAAAAAGTATTAATAAAAACCCGGAACTTAAATCAGACAATAAAAGGGAAAAATTATGTAACTGTAGAAACCTAGAAGACTGCCCATTAGAAAATAAATGCTGCATTAAATCTGTGGTATACCAATGTACTATATCATCCACTGAGAGCCCTAGCACTAATATGATATACATTGGGTCCACGAAGAATGATTTTAAAGATAGATGGAGGCAGCATAAGTATTCTTTCAATAATATAAACAAAAGAAATCAGACTTCCCTATCTAAATATTTTGGCATTTGAAGAGAAACAAATAGGACACCTAAAAAAAGTTAAATGGAAAATTATAAACAAGGCTAGAACATGTAAACTTTGGGATGACCCATGCCCTTTATGCCTCCATGAGAAATTGCACATAATTAAGCTTCTAAATAATAATAATCTATTAAACAATAGACACGAGTTAACGGTTTTTGTAGGCATCATCAGATTTTGGTTTGAACTATTAATAAAAACCAGCATACAATATAATAACTTGTTTAATCCATGGCCCTCATCAAATTCATAGTTTGAATGATTAACTAAAAACATGCATACAAATATAACACCTTTCATAATCCATAGCCGAAATAAATAGTTTAAATACCCTAAAAAAGATAACCCTTTATGAAGTCGTCAAAAAAACAAACGTTACGACAGTTTTTTATATGCACAAATCCCTTTCATAAAAAAAAAAATAAAAAAATAAATAAATCTCCATAGACATGCAAACTAGACGAGGGTTAATACATCTTCCGTTTTAAAATTTTGACACCCCAACCTTTCCCTGACTTGACATCTATAAAGTAACTCTATACTGATACTTATTATTAACACCCAACACCCGCCTACCCAACTTAAACAATTCGCCCTAGCTGTTACCATGGAAATTTTGATTTCAATTTTTAAAACACGTAAATTTCAGAAACACGTTATTCCAAAAAAATTTCGCTTGAAGATGGAACAGAGCTTTTTTAACTCAATTTAATTTAAATAATTATATTGAAGTTTTCGGCTCTTGTTTTGAAACATGGGACTTCTTATGTCGCGATTTGGAATCATTATTTAAAAAAAATAATTTATATATATATATTCTTAAATATACAGACAAACCTCTCAACAGACTAATAGAGGGGATGGGTGGTCCGTTAATGCCAATTGTCCGTAGATGGGAAGCGATTATTTTTGATTTATAAAAACAATATAGTAACGTTTTTGGTTGTGGTATATTTCAGGGAATTTCTTTTAACGACCGCTAAATGCCGTTGTATAAAGCAGCATAAAAGGAAAGGACGTAAACTCTCTATTTCTCTGTGTTTCCTCTTCTGGGTTGAGGGTCTTCTTAGTCCCAATCGAACAACGTGAAAAAAAAATAATCCTACATAATATAATGGATTCTAATACATAATATAATGGATTCTAATACACTGTTCTTAAAAAGAATATAGTATAATAAAAATTAAAAAGGAGAATATTTCAAATCGTAGTTAAATAAAAAGTATTATGATCAAAAAACCCCCGAAAATCTTTAAATTTATAAAGGAAAAAAAATGACGTTGAAATTTTTTTACCGTTAACAATAATTTTTTTTTTCTTCGCTAAATAAGAGTTTTCATGTTTCAAAAAAACAGCCGAAAACTTCAATATAATTATTTGAATTAAATTGAATTAAAGAACCAAGCTCTGTTCCATCGTCTAGCGAAATTTTTGGAATAACTAATTCTTGAAATTTACGCGTTTTTATAAGCATATTCATTATTAAAATTAAAATTATTATGGTACCTAACGAGTTCTTTCCTTCTATTTCTGAAATATTTTTACACACACACACACACACACACACACACACACACACATATATATATATATATATATATATATATATATATATATATAATATAAAACATTAAAATCGACTATGCAAGCCGAAACGCTCTTCTGTGGCTCAATCGGTAAATCACGTCAGGCTATATGAGGGTTCCGTATAGGATACAGGTTCGATTCCTGTCGGTCATTCAGGCCAGTAAATGTTGTTTAATATTGTTTATTATAAACAGAACATTTACTTAAATATTTGTATCTATAAAAAGAATGTATAAACATAAAAAATGTCTTTCCTAAAATAATTCTTTATCCCTTTTGTGTGCTATTTCTTTCCTTACTGTCATTTTTTTTCATCAACATCATTATCATCATCACCACTTTCTAGTTATAACACGCTGGTCTATGGATGTTCTTCCCCTAATAGATATATCAAACCTCTTTCAATTTTCAGAAGTCCTAAATGTGTTTCCAGGATACATTGTTTTCATAAATTCTTTTGCCTTCATCCTTATTTCCGCAGTACTTATGGAACATCCATTTGATCGTCTTTCTTTTACATATTCAACTAAACTTTATTCCATATCTGGATATTGAGCTTTTCTTCCTCTACCTATAGATTTTCCACTTGATTTACACCTTTTTTTAGTTCATTTTCTTTCTCCATAAATGTATGTTAGCCTCATTCAACTCATATTCTCTAGCTGCAGCTCTGTTTCCTATTCTTTCTGCTAATTCTGTTACTTTTTGTTTCAAATTTGTACTATAACTCGCACGCTTTGACGACATTTTGACAGTAAAATAAAATGTTATATTTATCGGGAAAACCGCGATGGTAATATTCAACATTATTTTAGCCGCTTAGTTTTCATTTTATTTCTAATGTTAAGGTTGACAAAATGTCTTTATAATTATTTTTTTTTGACAAAATTTATAGATGCGTATTATACATAGAGATAGATATATTTCTTTATTTTTGGATAATTTGTTGGGGTGCGTATTATTTATAGGTGGGTATTATTTTCGATGAATTACGATAAACCCTTCTTCACTCAATCCTTTGTTTCCAGTGTTTTCCTTACAGTCTTACTAACCAGCAATCACGAGCGTTATACGACCTTTAGAACACTGACGACCATACATTCTGTCTTCTTGCAAACGATAGTCCTTTCTTCCCGCTTTCCTTTACTATCTTATGTAGGAGTTCCTACAGTTTTTCTTTTGTGACAAGTCCAACGGTTGGCTTCAGTCAAATTAAGTGAAACTCATTTTTTCCAAATTTAAACTCCTTTTCGAGTTGTTACAGATAAGATTGAAATCATTGATAACAGTTTTTGAATTAATCATTCAGCCATAGCGGCGAATTTTGAAGAAAAAAAATGTAGGTCATCTATCAAACTCAATCGGATGATTGATTCGTGACGCATCTCCCAAGCAGATGTCACTTATTCTAAACTTTTCAAACTATCTTGAGGCAATTTCTTTTGTTTAAAGAATCCGTTCCGTAAGCGCCATGAATACTTCAATTGCATTTCGGAACGCGTAGCGTCCTACAGGTTTCATGTGCCCTATAGACGCGCGCCTATCATCAGGAGGACCAGGTTAGTAACTCAGTTAACCGATACGTACTATGACGACGTAACTTAATCGTTTAAGGCTGTGCGAACACAGATTAGGATGTATTTTTATTATGTAAGTATTGTTAGAATAGTAAAAAATATCATTCAATCTATCGTTATCAGATTTCTGGCATTACTTATATAATAGATATGAACAGATTTGGATAGATATATAGATAGATAGATATGAACAGAGATAGATAGATAGATATGAACAGAGATAGATAGATAGATAGATAGATACGAACAGAGATAGATAGATAGATAGATAGATACGAACAGAGATAGATAGATAGATATAGATACGAACAGATAGATAGATACGAACAGAGATAGATAGATAAATACGAACAGAGATAGATACGAACAGAGATAGATAGATACGAACAGAGATATGAACAGAGATAGATAGATAGATATGAACAGAGATAGAGAGATACGAACAGAGATATGTAGATAGATATGAACAGAGATAGATAGATAGATACGAACAGAGATAGATAGATAGATACGAACAGATATATGAACAGAGATAGATACGAACAGAGATATGAACAGAGATATATGAATACGAATAGATAGATATAGATATGAACAAAGATAGATATCAACAGACTTAAATAATTTATTTATTAGTATAAGGCCAAATGAAGGGAAATTGTATTAGTCAGATTGTGTTGCGCCAATCTTCTAAATGCGGAAATCTTGTCTGTCTAGTACATCAGCATTGGAAACATGACTTTCATCTGAACTCGAACATCGACCTCTTGTACCGATGAACTGCATACAACTATTCATTGACTGAGCCAGTAAAAAAACAGATTTAAGCCATTCTGGGCAAAATCCAAGACGTAAAACCTTTATTTGCCGTCTGAGGTATTGTCAAATATAGAGAGATTATATTTTAGTGAGTGGCTTGCTAATGTGTTTGTTCTGTCTGTAAAACGAAATTACCTCTTGTTTTTTACTTTGTTTTTAATTAATACTTTTACAACATTTTCTTTCTTTTTGCCTTGATATCTTTTAGTTTTTAATTTAAAATTACCATATTTGACGACATCCAAGATCCTCCCTTTCATTTCTACCCCCAAATTGGATCAAACGCATCTCCCCGATCTTAAGCGTAAAGTTGAAGAATCTGTAATATAATATTTCTACAGGCATTGTATCTTACCAGACAGTGTTTTATGGTAATGCCAAGGCATAAAAAATATGGTATGGAGTAAAAGTCGGATAGTGAATCCTCACAGACTGTAATCCAATTTGAATGCCGTCTGCTGGTTAGTTTTTGTAATCTGTTGAATAAAATGCTGTCAGTGTTCCAAGGAAAAGGAATGAGATTTCGAATATTGAGAGCTAATTCCTGTATTTCTGACCTTTGGTATTTTATTTAATGTTTGTTGAATGTAAAAAAAAACTGATTTGTAGGTTGAAACACGATAAGACGAAAGAAAAAAATAATTGAGACATTTTTTAATCATCTCACCCAAAGTAAGAAGATAATGCCACTAAGATTTTGATTGACTGTTATCCTCATCTTATTCACAACGTTTTGAATGTTGTACGACCCAGACAACTTCAAGTGATATATGTTGTAATTTCGAACCGAAGCCTTTATTTATTTCATATCTCTAGTAACTGCATTTGTGTATATATATATATATATATATACACGTGTGTGTGTGGATGTGTGTGTTGCGTGTATATGTATATATGTATTGTGCGTATGTGTGTGTTGTGTGTATTGTGTGAATATGTATATATGTATTGTGTGTGTTGTGTGTATATGTATTGTGTGAATGTGTGTGTTGTGTGTATATGTATATATGTGTTGTGTGGATGTGTGTGTATATGTATATCTGTATGGTGTGTGTTGTGTGTATATGTATATATGCATTGTGTGGATGTGTGTGTTGTGTGTATGTGTGGATGTGTGTGTGAGTAGTGTGTATATGTATATATGTATTGTGTGGATGTGTGTGTGTAGTGTGTATATGTACATATTTATCGTGTGGATGTATGTGTATATATAAGTTTGTGGATGTATGTGTATATATAAGTTTGTGGATGTATGTGTGTATATAAGTTTGTGCATGTATGTGTGTATATATGTACATATATATGTCTACGTACGAGTATATATATATACGCATGTATGTGTCTATATTTAAGTATGTATATATATGTATGTATGTGTATATATATGTATAATTGTGCATGTGTGTTTGTATGAGTGTATATATGCGTATATTTTTGTGTATGTGTGTATACATGTATATATGTTTGTATGCATATGTATATATGTATATATATTTAGGCCACTTATAGGTATATGAATATGTATATGTGTGTGTATATATATATATATATATATATATATATATATATATATATATATATAAAAAATAAAGGGATTTTTTGAACGTTTTTATGGTTGTAATGTGGATTTTTTTCTCAAAAATATTAATGTAAAACAAAAAGTATAATTTTTTCTCAATTTTGTTATACATATATTTTTAGTCTCATTGGAACCACTACAACATATTTCTTTTATATATATATATATGTATGTATGTGTTTATATTGTATATTTGTGCATGTGTGTGTGTATATATGTGTATATATATATATATATATATATATATATATATATATATATATATATATATGTGTGTGTGTATGCATTTATGTATATATTTGTTTGTATATATATATACACACACACACACACAAAATACACATATATATATATGTCCTAAATATATATAATTTAGGCTACTCATGTATATGAACGTGTATATATATATATATATATATATATATATATATATTTAGGCTACTATGTATATGAATGTGTATATATATGTATGTATGTATATATGTGTGTGTTTATGTATGTATATATATATACACACACACATACATACATACATACATATATATATATATATATATGCCTGTATTTGTTTTTATTTATGTATACACGTGGTTACATACATACACTTATACACCGCGAAAATTATACATGATGCTAGAAGGAAGTTATCTGAAAAAATTTTCCAAGTTGACCCGTAAATACGTAAAATGTAAAATTCTTTTGTCCGTTTTTACGCCTCACATCTAGCCCCCCCCCCACTCGCCTTGTACGCCTATTGACCTAGGTGTATCATAATAGCCCATTTAAAAATTGGAAAAATACAATAAAAAAAAATAAACATAACTTGACAGTTAAATTTAATTTTAATTCTACTTTCTTTTTTTTTTTAATATAATCGTGTTTAAAAGCTTAAAGGTAAAACATATCACACACAAACTAAGTAAACAAACAGTATACTAAGCACCCGTGTAGTTTTTTGTTTCTTTGGGGGTTTTTTTGGCGGGGTTGTCTACCATAACAAGGGAAATTTAGTAATTCTTTTTAAATCAAGTTTTTGTTTTAGATTACTATGATGGACGGATACAGGTAGATTGAAATAAGTGAAGAAAACTTACCTTTTATTTTCTTTTTCAACAAACAAGTCGTAAATGTTCCCCGGTGCAAACGAGCCGATTATTTTGTTTTTTGATTTTGTTTTTTTTAGGTAAGAAATACTTCAAAAATACAAATTCTTTATTGTACACTTCCTTCTGTTTGAAGCCCACAACATATAAAGAAAAAAAAAATAGAAAAAACGTAAAAGTAAAGTGATACGCGAAAATTTAAAACTTAGAGATCGATTTACTTTGCTTAGTTTTTTTTCTGTGTGTATGTCTTTCTGTTTTTTTTTATGTTTACTTGTTAGTTGATTGTCGATAGCGATTATCTTTCAAGCCTATTAGAATTTTAGTTAGATCATAGTCGGACACCCCCCTCTTACGGCACGAAAAAAAAATAACTATTCACAGAGTTAGAGAAAACAAAGATAAGAAGAATTATTTACGCACCTGTCTGATCAGTCCACACGAAAAGCTTAAAAAAAAGAAAGCAAGGCGCTTTCAGTTTATAAACAAATATGTCACGTTGTGAATGTTGGTAGTCAGGGACGTTGTTGTTTTGAAAATTACTTCAAATGAAACGACAAAGTTTAGATACACAAAAACGTATCGTAAAACTAAAAGGTGTGGCCTATATACCTCCCTAGTCTGTGTACGTGAACGTAATATAGCTAAATAAAATTATAAAAAAAAAAAGAAAGGAAGACAAACACTAGCGTACGAAATGTTTATAAGGGCGTGGCTCAGTGCGTCTAGGTCTGTTCCCTCAGGCGTGCAAACTTCGAATATGCCTAACTCCCTGCATTTTGTGACCAGTCTGTCTAGACTAATGGTTTTTTTTTTTTGTTTTTGTTTTTTTTGGTGGGGGTATTTTTTTATGAATAACTATCGGTTTCTCTCACACAGCCAATACCTCCATTTATGTCTCTTCTGTTGTCCTTACTTCCTCTCTACCTCGGTCAGAAATTTATTCTTACTTTTTTCTGTTTACACGGATAGACAAATCAGCGCTTCCATACTTTTACTTACATATCCGGGGCTGGTGTACGGGTATCGCGCCTCTTCTTGCCCCACCCGAAACTTGTGATACGGGACCACCACTAGACTACATCTTAAATTTTCGTAAGGTGGTAATCATATTAAATACGATATTTAAAGATGTTTTAAACATAGCAAGTTTTTAATAATGATAGTATTTTTAGAATATTTTTTAAATCGATTTAAAACAGTTGAATTCAGAATTAGCGTCATCAGAACTTGAGGGAAGACCACGACTTTCACTTATTAATTTAAAAAAAAATGATTTGTTCATTGACAACTGAAATATAAGGTACACTAACACTGATAATGATGCTTATATATATATATATATATATATATATATATATATATAAATGAGATTCAAACGAATTACCTCATACAGATGATCATTTCGTCCATAGGAAAGTAGTTTTTCTCTGGGTTATCAATGCAAATATAACTCTAGTCCTCCTCCTAGACTGGCTGCAGCCAAGGCTAGAGAACCCAGTCTACTCTGCTATTTTAGATCATAGTCCTAGAGTGGAAAGAAGAAATGGATTCGTGCCGCTCCCAAGGATCTCAGTGTGAAAGTGAATGCAACAGTGTCGACTGCAATTTAAACTCCTCACCCAATCGTTTTTTTTTTTTTGTTTTTTTTTTGTTTTGTTTTTTTGCCTGCAGCTCATTTTGAAATATTTTTTGTTTTAGAAAATAAGAGTTTGCAATATAGGATTCATTTGCTTCTTTTACTCATTTTCTTCTGATAAAAAAAAAACAAACACACACACACACACACACACACTCTCTCTCTCTCTCTCTCTCTCTCTCTCTCTCTCTCAAAACAGGTGCAAGTGTCTCGTGTTCCAACCGAATTTATGCTACGAAACCCCCCTCTCACTCTGCTATATCTCACTTGTCATAAAGTAGTATTCAGATAGTATATAAATTTTATTGTAACCTAAATATGTACAATAATGGATCATATGCAATATAGGTGAACAATTCAATTAGATAAATTAAAAATAAATACAATGTATTTCACATGGCATTGGTAGAGAGAGAAAAACAAAAAAAAAAAACAAAAAAAAAAACACAATCTAGTGCCCAGGATGTACCTTAGAGTCAGAGCTAGTGCAAGGGATTCCCCGCCCCTGAGTCTATGATATGGCCTCCCACTGTATTACATCTTAATTATCATAAGGTAGTATTCATATAAAATACAAATTTTATTATAATCTAAATATGTACAATAATGGATCATATGCAATATAGGTGGACAATTTCACTAGAAAAATTGAAAATAAATATAATGTATCTAACTACAAATTAGAGACATGTCATTCCATCTTAAACTAATCAACAATGCTTTGCGGCAATTTTTAACATTGAATAATTTTAATACATTGAACATTATAGATAAAAAAAAATAGTGAATTTTATAGTGTTTTTTTTTTCAAGACTATGAATGAGCAAAACAAATTCACGTATTTTTTATCCTTTACAATTAATTGCGCTTAGTTTAATTTATAATGTACATTAATGTAGATAGAAAAAAAAACAAACGTTAATAAGATAGGGAGGGTTACAAATCACTGCCCGTGACCCCTAATTGTTTGAGGGTTTAGGAATAGTACGCACCGGCCCTATACATATTAACTAGCAAAGTTCTCTTCAGTTGATCGGCAGATTGATTAAATTCATATTTTATCTCTCTCTATCTACCTAAAATATATTCATATATGTTTTAATGGCTTGTCAGTTCTATAAAAAAAAATTCCGACTATTTCATAAAGAAAAACCTGTTGCGCTAAAGTTTGTTTTTTTGTTTTTTGTTTTTTCAGATTTGTATATAAAACTGACGATTTTAATCTTGTAGTTGAATGTCTAATATATATTTGAACATGACCAGCACGCCCAAGCTCTCGGCCACGATGGCTTGTGACTTCGTGCTAGCACAACTATCGTCGCTTCCCCCTCCACCACCAAGGGTTCCGTCTACCTATTTTCACTGACAAGGCTTGGGTCAACCCGTGGTATGGCTTTTAGGCACTTTCCAAACATTGGGATCGACCCCTCCAGTCCAATAACATCAGGAAATCTCCTTCCTGACAAATCGACCCTGGTGACATTCGAACCCGAGTTTCATGGTCATAATGTATGGTATCTCTCTCTCTCTCTCTCTCTCTCTATATATATATATATATATATATATATATATATATATGAAAATTTCTCCGATTTAACCAGTAGAGAAGACAATGTTTATGAATAAAAATGACAATAGGAAAACTAGTAATTGCTGACGCGTTTCGTCCAATGTGGACTTTATCAAAGCAAAATACGAAATGATTTTAATTGAACAAGGTAACTAATAAACATTCTGTTTTTTGTTTTTATTAGTTACCTTGTTCAATTAAATTCATTTCGTATTTTGCTTTGATAAAGTCCGTATGGGACGAAACGCGTCAGTAATTACTAGTTTTCCTATTGTCATTTTTATTCATACATATATATATATATATATATACACAAAAGAGAGAGAGAGAGAGTTAGATAAATCAAATGACCAGATATAAGCAAGTGCCTGATGAGCTGGAAAACCAGCGAAACTTAAGTCGCACACCAAAACATAAATATATGTATATGTATATTTAATAATATATATATATATATATATATATATATATATATATATATATATATATATATATATATATAATTGGGTATTTGGGCAACAATCTTTCTTTTATACAGGTTTCAGTAAAGACGACTGACAAGGTACTACGTTTAAGTTTTTTTGTTTTATACAATTTCTTGTGTTCGTATAAGTGTGTTCTTTTCTGGCTATGAAGTGGAACAAAACTGTCTGAATGTTCTGTAGAAGATTAGTAATATTTCTTTAAAAAGTTACTAAACTTATTAAATTTTTTACATACTTAATGTTCAGAAAAGTAAACACTAGAAAAATTCAATAAAAATGCCTAATCGCTGTACCTTGTCGATCGTTTTTAATGAAACATATATATATATAAGTAAATTACGCATACAGTCTACGGAACTTTTGAGTCAGGATACTGAAGGTACCATCAATCAGCTAAGTGACAAACTTTTAATTTACTTTTTAGGATGATAAGATAAAGAATAACTAGGAAACGTTTATCAATCTTACATGTTTTCAGTCAGTTATGTGCCATGCGTGATACACGCTTAGGAGATCATGTATCTTTCGATACATGACTGACGAGGCAGATTTTTTTTCCCGCAGTAGGTTGCCATTTCTTTCTGCGGTAGACCAGTTGCCATCCAAGGCTACAGAAACGGGTCTATCCTGCTAGCTTGGAGCCGGGTAGAAGAAGAGAATTCATACTTTTCCCAAGGGTATTAGCACGAAAGTGAATGTAATGAATTCGACTGGAATTCGAACTCGGCTCTCCGATTCCTCAATCTGAAGCCCGATCCATTACTCCACCATACATGTTTACTTTTATTAAAGCCTCCTGTTTTTGCCTGTTTTCTCTCAATTCCTGTTTGTTCTTCGTCTTAGATAGATAGATAGATAGATAGATAATTAATACAAATATTTGTAAGCTTCTCACTTAGCTGAATGGTCTTAGCATAAGTCACTCTGTAGGTGACTATTTTCGCCCAAGCAAAGTGTTAGTCCTGCCAATGCAAGCTGAATTTGAATTTCTTGGTTGTGTCGTCATATCCTTCTATGGCAACACCTAAAACAATATTGACTGAAATTGAAAGCCAGGATACTGCAATTTCAAATATATAGCGTTAATACATGAAACAATATGTTTTGAGGGGATTCCATATACAGTAAAAGAAGAAGTAATATTTATAAGTGATGTACAATGCTGAATGTTAAGCAT